TATAAACGATCGGCCACCTGCAGGATCCTCACATGCGATAGCCTAGTAGCCGGGACAACTTCTTTATGTTTACAGACGTGACGTAATGACGCAGCAGCATGCTCGAATTTCCCGCGAAAACCTACCCGAACCACTCAAATTAGAAAACATTATTATAAGATAACCGTTGTGAATCGGGCTAAAGTAAGGCGATAGTTTTGAAAACTGGCTGGTTATGTACTTGCTCAAATATTGATTTCGGATAATTTTTAACCAAAAAAAGTTACGGACTGCAGCTTTAATATTTAAAAAAAATGGGCAGTCAAAATCATGGAAGAGGAATAATTGATAGAAAGGATCTTCAAGACTTTTGAATCCAAGAATGTTATTGGTGCACCTACTACATATTCTTGAATTTTGCTCAAGTTTACTTTTTAATATTTACCTAATTCATCTAAATTCATTATTTCATAACTTGTTTTCCAGCAAGGATATCATAAACATCTTAACAAGAAGATTAAATGAGAAGCAAAATCAAATAAGCCTTTTGACAGAAATCTAATCCAGTTTTGCGAGGTTTATGGTTCTAAAACATTTAATAACATAAATGAACTTAATAGCTTATTAATTAAGCTGTTTTATACAATGATACTTGTTTTTAGCATAAACCTGAAATTAAGTTGTATTTATATAAAATCAAGTTATGTAGTGTGTAGTTTCTCTCTATTTTAAAAGTAACTTCCATCTCACCCAGCATTATGCCCTGCTTTATATCATAATAATTCAAATCTTTCTCATATTTCTTTCCTCTTATTGTAACTCTTGACACTTGAATTGTAATTTCCACCATACCATTGCTTTCTTTCCTCTCCTGCTGTCTGTCTCTCTTTCTTTTTCATGAATTTCTTAATGTATGTGGTGAACTGCTGAGTATTCCTTCATCTCTCAGGGTTGGCAGCTCTAACAGAAGCCAGGCAGTGGCAGCTTCACAAAATTCGACACAGGATGAAACTCAGATTCACACGCTCGCTCAGAGTGTCCAAAGGAGAATAGGATTCTACCGGTCATCCAGTCATGGGGTTCACTCACAGGACGCATGCAAACACACACACACACACACACACACACACACACACTGCTCATATTTAGGTCAGGGTACTCGGTCCAGTTTGCTGGGGTGCGGTTCGATACTAAACATTACTGACATTAGTTAATGCGATGTTGGCTGGAAGTGTGTTGCATTTCATGGAAAGCTCAAAGGATTCAAAGTGTTTAGAGTTTTCCATCAGCGGGGTCATTAATCTAGTATTTTATTTTCCCTCTGGTAAAATCTCATCTGCTGGTGATTGCTTATGCTTCAGCATGAGATAATGTGTTTGTGGGCTTGCTCTCTCTCTCTCTCTCTATCTATCTGTCTGAGCAGGAGGACTGCTTGGAAAAGGTGATTAAGGACACGGAATGTCTTTTTAAGAACAGGGAGAAGGAATATCAGGAGACTATAGACGAGATAGAGGTGAGAAGTTTACATTAACCACCATTTTACTTTACATTCATGCTTTATTCATTCTGATGATTCTGATTGGTCAATTGCAATATTATGTTAAGCAAGATAATCTACAGTCAGCTGATCATTATCACAAAATAAACCCTTCTGAGGTTTCGGAAAAACACCCTGACAGGATTCGGCCGCATACATCGAGGCAGTCTTGTTTTAGAAAAGCAACCATTATATTGCAAAGTAAGAAAGAAATGACAAAACATTCAGTATAACAGTCAATTTTATTAACATTGAAAGAATTAAAGACGCAGCTACAGTAGTAAATCATATATTTTACAAGTAAATATTATTGTACTGCTCTTTTCTTTTCATTCTAACTGGCTGCTAAGTGCAAAGTGAATAAATGTACACATAAATGTAAATATAGAAGCCCAGTCTTATGCAGTCTGTTCCTCTGTAGTTGGAACTGGCCACAGCAAAGTCGGACATGAACCGTCATCTTCATGAGTACATGGAGATGTGCAGTATGAAGAGAGGACTGGATGTGCAGATGGAAACCTGCAGGAGACTCATCACTCAGACTGGAAACAAGTATGCAAATATCCACAAAGATTTATGGGCTTTTGACACTTTAACTTGGTTATTCTTAACCCTGCGTTATCTGGTTGCACACTGTTCATACCGTATCCTGATTTTGAGATTTCACACTGTACCTTTATAAACCACAGATTTTTCTCACCATACAGTAAATCCACTTCTCCTGTACCTGGAGGTGGTACAGATGCAAACGGAGAAACAGAGAGAGATAAAACCGAGGAAGGAGGAAGATAATGATGCCATCAGATCTGAAGGAGGTGTTTGCGAGAAGAAGAAAAAGTGCCCCTCATCTCTTCATGGCACCCATCATCAGCCCTTCTCATGTTTTTGCAGTCTGTCCAGTCACTGCCTCTAGTGGTGGTAAATGGAATTACATTGTGTGTGCTCAGTGCCCTAAAGTGAACATGTACTGGGACATTTCCCCCCTGTTGGTTGTGCAGAGCAGCTTGACTGTTTTCACACCTACATAAAAAGATGAGAGTCCTGATAACGTTGTTTGCGTTTATCTGATTTCACCGAGCCCATCCACCGGCTGGTATCGATCATGTTTTCCGATCTGATCCCCGAATGTCTGAGTCATCATATTTTCAGCACTGAATACAATCACTTTTGTTTTCGTATTTCTAGCAGAGAATCACTGACGATGTTTTTGCAAAGTTTCCATTTCCTAGAGACTCCGAGGGGACATTTGCTCACTTCTCGTTGTCGCATGTATCGTTACGTGCCGCTGTAAGCCGTGGGTCAGTAGGTGTGTTGTGCTTCCTGTCTGAGCTGTTGTAAATACTCGGCTGTTAATGCAAGTGAAGGGTGGAGGTAACTGTAGCCTGCACGTCCCCCATCTCTGTGCTCAAATTCACACGGAATATATGACATTTCATGCTACTGGTATTGTGCTGATGCCAGGCTGCTTCAGAATAATGAACTCTTTGACTTCCTCTATTGCGGGTGGAAAACATGAGTGATGGGTGAGGTCAGATGAGTGAGATTTGAGGATGTTATGGCTCAGAGTAGATGTCAGAGCGTTACGAATGTCAAACTTTAAGTTGTTTCCTTTTTACTTTTCCCCTAATTTTTCGTCTTTGAGATCAGTGATATTGAGTCTTTTTCTCTGCCGGTGGAGATACATTTCAGAAAATTACATTTCATGAAAATGCTGTATATGTAACGCTGCTGTAGATGTGAGACCTGCTTCAGTCCATAAAATATCTAGTATTTCAAAGGTCTTTCTATTTTGGATAGTAAAATCCTTCCAGTATAGTTCACCTTTGGCATTTTTCCGTTTCGCATCCTCTTAGCTAAGACCTTGCTGGTGCCTCTGATGGCTGAGGTTGATGCAAAGATCTGTCTGTTTGTCTGACCAGTTGTTTTCATTGGGAACAGTAATAGTGGTCTCCTTGATCCTTGGGAGTTTTTGAGAGCATCCTATCTTGTTACAGTAGATAGGTCCTTTAGAAAGTGAGATCCTGATAGGTTAAACTCACTAATTAATGTTCGTACTAAAGACCCCATGAAATATTTGACAAACTAAATTTTCCTTTCTATGCACTTTTAAAGGGGTCATATGATGCTATTTTAAAGATCATTATTTGGTGTATTTGGTGTAACAGAATATGTTGACATGCTTTAATGTTCAAAAAACACATTATTTTTCAAATACTGTACATTATTGTAGGTCCTCTATGCCCCGCCTCTCTCAAACACGTCGTTTTCAACAAAGCCCCCTCCTTTGACAAGCGCAGTCTGCTCTGATTGGCCAGCTGACCCAGTGCATTGTGATTGGCCGAACACCACAAGCACGTGTCGGAAATGTAACGCCCCTTACCATAATCGCGAGCTTCAGCTTTCAAAGTAAATATCCTAGACCGTTAATAATGTCGTTAGTTTTACCACCAGTTCAAGCCCGAAATGGCAACAGAGTCGCGTGACAGACACCGTGATGATGCAGTACACAATCCCCTTTAACAGCAGGACCTTATGGAAATTATTATGGCCTTTTCTGCCAGAGAGTTTAAAAAAAGATAATTGTGACTTTGTTTCTTGTAATCGCGAGTTAATATCTCAAAGTTGCAACTTTATTTCACATAATGGCAGGGTTATATCTCACAACTGCGACTTTGTTTCTCTTAATTACAACTTGATGTCTCACAGTTGTGACTTTATTTCACATAATTGCAGCCCTCTATATCTTACATTTGCAGCTTTATGTCTCACAACTGCAACTTTCTTTTTTCATAATTGTGAGTTTATATCTCACAATTGTGACTTTGTTTCTCACAATTGCCACTTTTTGGAATTGTGACTTAATATCTCACAATTACGACACTGTTTCGTTCAATTTTGACATATCTCACAGTTTGGACTTTGTTTCTTGTAATTGCGACTTTATGTTTAATGACATTGTTTCTTGGAATTTTGACTTCATATCTCACAATTACGACATTTTTTTTTCTTTCGATTTTGACATATCTCACAGTTTTTACTGTTTTTTTTATGTCATTTCAATTTTCTGTCTCACAATTACAACTTCATTTCTAGTCATTTTCTAGTGGCATATCATAATTTGACATTGTTTCTCATGATTTTGACTTTATCTCTGGCTTTGTTTTTCACAATTGTGATTTCATGTCTCATAATTACAACTTTGTTCCTCATAATTGCGACTTTATATTTTTTTGACGTTGTTTTTTGTAATTTTGACTTAATGTCTGACAATTGCGACTTTATTTCAAGTAATTGCAACTTTATATTTAAATACATTGTTTCTCATAATTGTGACTAAATCTTACAACTGCAACTTTGTTTTTCATATTTGTGAATTTCTTTATTTTTTACTCTGAGGTGGAAATGGGGAATATTTGGAGATTGATTTTTTGTATGCATCCTGCAAATTAAGATTTGTTGAACTATTGCTTAATATTGAGTGTGAGATCTCGATGGGTTTAATCTATTGGATTAGACCCACTGGAGATCTAACAACCCCATGAAATATTTCAATGGACACATTTTCTTTTCTATCCACCTAAAAGGGTGAGATCCCAATGGGTTAGATTCACTGGAGAATGATCTTCCAGTCATTTTCTTGAGCAATATATTATCCATATATAAGGCTTAAGTTCTCAAAAACCTCACATGATTTGTAATAATCAGCTCTTCTTTTGGCAGAGCACTCTCTAATTCTAATCAAACGCCCACAGTGATCACAATTGTGACTTTGTTTAATGACATTGTTTCTTGGAATTTTGACTTCTTAATATCTCACAATTACGTTACTGTTTCGTTCAATTTTGACATATCTCACAGTTTTTACTGTTTTTTTTATGTCATTTCAATTTTCTGTCTCACAATTACAACTTCATTTCTAGTCATTTTCTAGTGGCATATCATAATTTGACATTGTTTCTCATGATTTTGACTTTATCTCTGGCTTTGTTTTTCACAATTGTGATTTCATGTCTCATAATTACAACTTTGTTCCTCATAATTGCGACTTTATATTTTTTTGACGTTGTTTTTTGTAATTTTGACTTAATGTCTGACAATTGCGACTTTATTTCAAGTAATTGCAACTTTATATTTAAATACATTGTTTCTCATAATTGTGACTAAATCTTACAACTGCAACTTTGTTTTTCATATTTGTGAATTTCTTTATTTTTTACTCTGAGGTGGAAATGGGGAATATTTGGAGATTGATTTTTTGTATGCATCCTGCAAATTAAGATTTGTTGAACTATTGCTTAATATTGAGTGTGAGATCTCGATGGGTTTAATCTATTGGATTAGACCCACTGGAGATCTAACAACCCCATGAAATATTTCAATGGACACATTTTCTTTTCTATCCACCTAAAAGGGTGAGATCCCAATGGGTTAGATTCACTGGAGAATGATCTTCCAGTCATTTTCTTGAGCAATATATTATCCATATATAAGGCTTAAGTTCTCAAAAACCTCACATGATTTGTAATAATCAGCTCTTCTTTTGGCAGAGCACTCTCTAATTCTAATCAAACGCCCACAGTGACTAATACAGTAGTTCCAGAAGAAACGACTTCTTGTAGGCTTTGTTGGTCATTCATATCTGTCGTCAAATAGGTAGTCTGCGTGTAAACCACAGCTTGAATTCAAGAATAGAGACTCAAACTCTTTGACAGAGACATTTCGAGTGCCAAATGTGAAATAAAACATTCAGGAAAGATACTTCACACAGTGAAAATGAAAACCTCGTGCTTTTGAAAACATGGTGCTGTACGTCCAGCATGTAAATTTCCGCTGTAGAAAAACAAAGAGTGAAGACTTTAATAAACATATTACAGTACATATCACTTTCTATGCTGAGCCAGAACAGAATTTAATCATTTGAACTATGTTATGTACCATCCTCAGGTTGTTTTTCTTTTTCTTTTTTTCTTTTTTCTTTTCTATTTTTTGCATACTGACTGATGAACAACACTGTGTGTCTGCCTTAGGTTTTTCCCTCTTACCACTGTGAAGTTCTGACGGGGTTTTGCAGGTTTATTGTGATTTTATTTCTATCAACAAGTTATTTCATTTAAAAATGATGTTCTATGGGTACCAATTAAACAGTATGTAAAAAAAAAAAATCTTTGTTTGATTAAAAAAAGCCCAGCCCAGAAAAATAAAAGGATGAGCTTGATGATTAATTAAAATGTTACAATTTGATTTTGAGGACTAAATATTGTTTATCATATTTTTTGTGGCACTTCTGCTGCCAATAAGAAGCACTGTAAACAACTGAGCCATTGTTCATTCACAGAATTTTTTTATTATTATTTTTATTTTAGTTAATTTTTTTATATTGTTTCGCAGCACTGTGCTGAACTGTGTGTGTAAGACTATGTATGCATGTGTATATGTATGGAGTGAGCACTCCTGGTTTCTGCAATGAGTAACTGGTTATTTTCTACAGCAAGTTACTTATTGTTTGTTGCAATAATACCTTAAAACAAAAGTCTTTTACGAGAATTCTGTTAACAATTCAATAACCACAAATCCGGTCTTGTATGAAAAGGATCAGTCAGGAAAATGACTCATTGGAACTGACTGAATTTTCCTTAAAAGGCTTTTGGATATTTCAAATTTGCAGCGGCTACAAACAATGTGTAAATTCCATGCAATATCTTCACCAAAATAATAACAGAATTTGAAAAAAGAAAAAAGAAAAAGTGCTTACAAAGAATGGCAATAACTGTATGAATGCAACGATACTGTAACCTAGAAGAGACAAAGGGAGAGTTGTGTACACTCCAATGCTGGCTATGCAAGCAAGTCCTGAACCTTAACAAGAGAATTACAACATTTGAAATGATTTCATTCATAGCATCTCCGTGTCATTCTGTAACATCTCACAGGAATGAATCTTGTTTCTACTGTGGAATTGTAGGGATGTTTCTGTTTTAGGGACCTCCAAGGGTTCTCTTTAAATTTGCACATGTGCCACTGGTTGTGGATATCAGATGCTGTCCAGTGAATGTTTTGCTCCAAGGACCCACCCGAGTGTCTAAGGGGAGGAAAAGGCCCCCGACTGCAGCAATGGCACATGCGTATTTTGATTTAAAGAGTAACAGGACTATATGTACTGTATATATAAATATGTATGTATGTAACCCAAAGCAGAACAGGAATTGCTCGCTTCACTGCAAGTGTACAGAAAGACTGGAGCTTTAAAAAGATTTCAGAATAAAGGTTACTGCTGAACACACACATTGCAAGGAGTGGAGTTTTTGTGTCATGATGTGTGTTTTTTTCTTTTTCATTCTATAGGTCATTTTTTCCTCTAAGTATCTGTTGTTCTGTCAGACTGTTACGCACTCGTTTGCTTAATAAGGTAACACTGGAAAAAAGGGCCAAAGACATGGCATAAATTGAAAAGACATTTTAGATCAAAGCCACAGACATTTTTTGTGAGTTGACCTTTTGGCTTGATCTGCTTCATGACGGTGGTTTTAGGTCTGGGAACGTACCACTAAAAAGGTGATTGTTGGATATAAAACTATTCATTTTTTTGTCCATCAAACGCCTTTTTAGTGTATACATGTTTGCATGGAGCTGCACACAAAAGTGTGCAGCTCCATGCAGACATGTTTGCAAGCATATGAATGTGTTCATATGTGTATATTTTTATGAGGCATCCCAAAACTACTCCATTTAGAAATGCACTCACATTCTGAATGTATTTTGCATTAATCAAACCAGTAATAATGAAACGGTGACAGCACAGTGAAGCTATTGCCTCTCTCTCTCTCTCTCTCTCTCTCTCCACAACAGTAAGCAGGTGAAGGGCAGTGTGAGAAAGAGAGGGAGGGGAATGACAGGAAGACACAGCAGGTGAGGAAACAATGAGATGAAATGATCAGAACAGAAAACAGACTGGCAGAAGACACAGAAAAAGAGTTTGAAAGCATTTGATGACATTTTGGATTTCAACTAATTGTGAGGTACCGACTATTTTCACTTATATTGCAGTTATTGTTTGGTTCTTTTTTTTTTTCTCCACTTGCTTCATTTTTCAGAAATGTTGGTCTTTCTTCTAAGATTTTGACTAGACTTTAAAATGACTTAAAATAAAATAATCAAAACGAGCCAGTCACATGCTTATTTGCTATTGCATCAGATCCACAAATCTACTTCCCCAGTTTGTTTTTTTTTGGCAAACTCAGCTGTCGAATAATGCAATATATTATTTTATTAGTCATGAACATGTGAACATCGAAGTGAAACTTTAATCTGTGCTAAATCACACTTCTTTATTCAAAAGTTTGATTGTGTTTGTTCATATGTTCTCCAGTGACTGATGGAGGGTGTGTGATATGTTGTCTGTGTGGATCACTTCGTGTCTGATAAAGTTGTATCGTTTACAGATGCTTGTGACAGTGATATCTGTAGCCATGGTGATGCTGACAGGTCACCTGATATATGGGCTCCCCATGGTAAATTATGTTATAATATGTACGGTATATATTGTTAACAAGACGCTTTGATGTGAAGGCTTGTAGTATGCTGCATGCTCTGTGTTCACATTAATCAGTTGATCTGAATTGTGAACCAAATTAGCGCAGAACCGTACTTCAGTGTGCATTTAAAAGACACTGTGTCACTCTGTTGGATGCATCCAAAACAAATGATCTTGTGTGTTATCGTTTGTTTTGAGCAGGACGGAAAAATGAGAAATTCCAGAGCCCTTTCAGAAGAGCTGTGTGATGCAGGTGAGAAAGCATTTCGGGGCGATATTTCTCAAAGTCTCTTGTATCTAGCATCACTTTCTCTGAATTCTTTCCCTGTTTTTGCGGAGTGCGTGAGCGTACCTTTCTGTCGCAACACTTCCCAGTATTACATATGTGGTCTGAGCAAGAAATCGCCCGGGACATCAATGGTTTATTAGGTTTTTCTTCATCGTTCTTTCTTCTTCCTTTCCCTCTCTTTCTTTCTCTCTCGTGATGGGAAATGGTATGTTCTGACACAGAAGCATAAACCACTTCCTTCATTAGAATGCCACTGCCTGTTTGAGCTACTTTGTAACGTCCTGTTTTTGATGCTATTTCTCATCTCTCCCCTTAAGAGACCTCAGTCAGCAAGTCTGAGTCTGTGCATAAAAGTGTGTGTGCACGTACGTGAGTGTGTCTGTGTGCGAGCACCCACATCCGCCTTTAAAAATTCAGTTTGTGCCCTTTGAGCTGAACGTCTTTGCACAGTCAAATACAAATTTAGTTATTACACCTTTAAATATGTTACGATAGTCATTTTAGTATCTATGCTGTGCAATAGGTTAATTACATTTTTTCGAAGATACTTAAGGGACAAAAAAAAAAAGATTCTCTCACAAAACTTTTGCACTCCCCTGAGAAACTTTTGCGTTCACTTGCAAAACTTTTGTTATGGAAATTATTTGAGGTGGGAGGGAAAAGTAAGCTATTTCCTGTGAATGCACAAGACAGATTTATTAGCCACTAAATTATTCTAGGTAAATAACTAGAAGAATAATGATGTGCAGTAAACTGTAAAACTATTTGCATTACAACTTTGTGTGCTTATGATTATGATAATAAAATATATAAGGGTCCAAGCACAATAGAGGTAGAATGAGAAGCTAAATTTCAAGGCAGCAAGCATCACACCAACTGCAGTAATTAGTAAATAAAGACATTTGTAGATGATATTAAGCAAAATGGTTGAAAACTCTAGAATCACTTATCTAATGTAACATAATTGCTTATTATGTTTGATTAATAGGTGGCGTTCACACCAAATTGATGTGGTGTAGCTATGAGGTGACAATGACACAAAGTTTGATGTCAATATGTCAAAGCTGCAGACATACCTCAGATGCATGCCATCAAATTCATTGATGTGGTATATGAAAACCGTTCTATCAACACGAAACCCATAACTTTGTGCCAGCATAGTCTGAAGATGAACGGTCTAGGATAAGTAGGTTTTCAAATAAAATCAAAATGGCAGACAGAAAGTTACAACTGGTGTATAGGCCTTTTGCCTATACCAAGTTTGTAACATTTGTAAAATATAGCATTTTCGTCAAATTCATTTTCTTGTTATTCGAGAACGGTTTGACTAATCAACTTTGCATAACCTTTTGTTGGCATGGTCTGAAAATGGTTACATTTTCATGAACATTTGAGCAACAGTCTAGGAGTAGTTGGATTTTGGAAAATTCAAAATGGCGGAAAAATGTTCACGATGGAAAAACGTGTGCAACTTTGGACAGAAAGCTAGAAGCATTGATTAATGTCCAGATTGTTCTCTATCAGTGTGTCAAATTTAATAACTTTCCCTATGGGCTGCTAAGCATAACAGACTGCTTTTTTTTTTTGCTTTTTGCTTTTTTTACACAGCTAACATAACTAGCGGCTGAGACCCAAAGCTTTGTACATGCATGTTAAAAATGGCTGCACCTACATTTACGTTAAAAATAAAGTGCATATGTAAGAAAAGCACATCTCACCAAACCACACTAACATGTGGCAGTAATTCACACAAATGGTCTCAAGTTTTTCAAATTCCAGGTATACAGTGCATGATTTTAGGCCCAATTTTCTTTCTTTTTTTTTCTGGAGATTGGCCCAAAATCTGAGGCAAATCGGTGCTTGTTCATAGTGTGAATTATCAAAAACGCGATCTGAGATAAGTAGGGCTGGGTATCGTTCAAAATTTTTCAATATCGATACCGATACCGATACCTTGACTTCGATACCGGTTCCTGAACGATACTTTTTTCGATACCAATTTTATGAAATCAATTTTAACAAGATTACATTATCTAAAAAAAAAACTTTGGTTTTATTTTTCAGCTTGTTGATGTTTATACAGACTCAAAGACTCATCTCCTGAGCCACTGCACAAAGGAACAAAATTTAACCAACACAATAAATCAGTGCAAAATAGTTTTAATAAAGCTCAAATAGTCTTCAGTTTACACATCTGTTAGGCTACATTTACACTAGTTAGTGTTCGTTTTAAAACGCATAGCTCAGACAGAATCATGATTTCTATTAATTTTCCACTGATTTACTGATGAGCATTAGCAGCTTCCAGCTCTCTTCCATGTGTTCTCTCTTCCATGATCGCTGCTCTGACTCAGAGGTAATAACATATTTAATTTCAGCAACATTACATGGCCAAAACACACATTAGATGGCAGGTCCGGATTTACCTATCTTCGTGACGTAGAAAAAACAAATTTTTGGTCCCCCTTCCCTATTAATATAATAGACCTAATATTACCACCCAAGCAAACAAAAATATTTCTTAATCAGTGGAAACCGATACAGTGTTTTCTATCGGAATAAGCGCTTGCGTTCAGTCAATAAAAATCGAATAGTTCTTAATTTGTTTGAGAACTGAGAAAGACCATACCATATAGTCCTGGCCACATAACCACCTCCGGGAGTGCATTATTTCTCTAATAATTTTAACGGCCTGGAGTCACAACCACACGTCAAGACATTGTTCAGATAATTTGTTTCAAGACATTTGACATGTTTCCGTCCTGAAATCTCGTGTGGGTTGAACTAATTTTTTTAAGCACCTCATCCCAAACCTTCCGTTGCAAATTCCAAAACGTCATTTTAGAGCTGATAACAGAGGCTTGAGCCATTGATATGCAGGCTAACGCAGTTATTAATGCAGTCTAATGCGGTTATTAGAGAGAGAGAGAGAGAGAGAGAGAG